AAAAATTACTCTATGTGATTTTTGACGATAGAGCTTTATAAATTCTGTAGCCGTTTTCGTTCAGCATTGCGAAAAGCAGCTCTTTGAGCTGGTTTCATACCAACAGGAGCCCGCAATACATTTGCTTTTTCAGCATATGCACTAGGATTATACGATGGTACATTCGGTAAATTGTCCCAATTTTGCGAGGTTTCTAGCTGAAATGATGTATTTGCAGTTTCCCACGTAGAATTATGTTGTGTCCCTTCGCTATCGAATGAAGTACAAATGGAAGCAGTTACTCCTTGTGTAGGAGTTTCATTGCTTTTGAATACTTCGAATGATTGGCGTTTTGGGCATGAGCTAACGTGCCACTATAAAGAATTGGTGATAGTTCCGAAATTTGTTATAAAAGGTTGTTTATCACTTACATTTAATTCTTGCTTATTAATACGATGTGTTACATCAAAGGGACACACAACCACTTCAGCATCTGGATACGACTTTCGACACCTAACTAGGTGAACTTGAAAACGGCATCGAAGTATTTGATGTGCCACGTTATAGGGGCAAGTTAATATATCAAGCTCTTCACCCAAACGGCGTAACATTTCAAAATCAAATTATATTTTTCAATGAGGGTTAAAGTTATAAAAAGTCGAAATTTGGTTCGCGTAACCGGCTAGAAAAATTACGTGCGAATTATTACAACGGGAAATCAGCGGCCATATTAAATTTTAAATAACCGAAAGCATATATGTGCTGCCAGATTTTCGCAAGTTTACGGGTAGTATTTAATGAGCCTCGATAAATTTGTATTTTCAGACCGTCTTAAACCGGTTATCGTTGTGCATACCTACAAGTGAAAAAATATCAGGCGGAATTTTGACAGCCGCTACGCTAAATTTCCACCACCAAAATTCTCTAGATGAAAATCAGTGGGTCCTAAGAAAAAAAAGTGGAAAAGTAACAGATGCAATTTGTAATCAACCAAAGCAGGCAGTATGAGGGGCATGTAACTAGATGTTGCTTTCTTTTGGAGATTTTTGGTGATCAAAATTAGCGATAGCGAATCCGGCTGCAGATGTTTTCCAGAAATGCCTCACACCTGAGATCACCTGCAGCCGTATTCCACATATGCTATCGCAAATTTTGATCGCCAAAAATCTCCAAAAGATTAGCAGACGCCCCTAACAACACGCAGCATCTAGGTGCGTGCCGGCCACACTACCAGATTTGGCTGATTACGAAATTCATGTTGTTGTTGTTGTTGTAGTGGCTACAACAACCGCGCCCAGATCGGTTAATATCTCAGTTGTTGTCGTCAAGTTCCACTAACGACAGCCCTAAGAAGCGTGCAGCCTCAATTGAGTCGGTGCACACGGACAAAGGCGTTAGGGTTGTCGGGTTTTAAGCGCATGCGAAGAGATGTTTCGAGTCGTGAAGGGTCTCTCTGCATGCCGGACACNAATTGAGTCGGTGCACACGGACAAAGGCGTTAGGGTTGTCGGGTTTTAAGGGCATGCGAAGAGATGTTTCGAGTCGTGAAGGGTCTCTCTGCATGCCGGACACTTGCTTAATGAACCTATGGACTTCGTCCGTCAGTTCGTAGAGATGCCTCCTGACGTGCCTTGGCGAGGGCTCCTCTGCAAGCAGCGGTCTGTTTGGGTGAATACGTCTGTGGCTCCCAACCAGAAACTGCTTGCAGAGCATTATGTTATGCTCCTTGACTGGGAGCATTTTTGCCTCGTCGTGCAGGTGGTGTTCTGGCGACATCAGAAGTCTCTGTAGCTTCATCCACTGCGTCCTACTAGTCCCCGGCGACCACACTGGTGATGCGTAATTTAAAACCGGTCGGCCTATTGCCTTGTATGTTGCCCGCAACGTTTCTTTGTCTTTGTCCCAAGTACTGCCGGCTAGCGACTTGAGGACCTTGTTGCGGCTCTGTACTTTATTGACATAGGCGGTTGCGAGCGCAGAGAAGGAGAGCTGACTGTCGAATGTTCCTCCGAGTATTTTTGGACTATTCACCGACGGAATTGGTGTATCATCGACGTGAATTCCCAGCGGTAGCCTGACCTCCTTCGTCCAGGTGGTGAACAAGGTCGCCGAGGATTTCGTAGGGGAGAGGGCTAGGCACTTTGCAGTGAAGAAGCGAGAAAGCTCGGAGAGATACCCGTTTACTTTCGAACACAAGTCATCAATTCCATTTCCAGTCGCCATGATCGAGCAATCGTCGGCGTAAGAGACAATCGAGACTCCCTCTGGTGGTTGAGGGAGCTTTGAAATATAAAAGTTAAACAGTAGCGGGGAAAGGACACCACCCTGTGGAACCCCCCTGTTTTATTTTCCTGAGTTTGCTCGATTTGTCTCTTAACATTACCGCCGAGTGTCGACCACTCAGATAATTTGCCGACCACCGTTTGAGTCTCTGTGGGAGAGAGGAAGCCTGTATATCTTCTAGTAGCGTGAAATGGCTGACAGTGTCAAACGCCTTTGACAGGTCCAACGCTACTAGAATAGTTCTCTCACAGGGACGGTTGCGGTTAAGGCCACGAGTCATCTGAGTGTTTATGGCGTTAAGTGCTGTTGCTGTACTGTGCACTTTACGGAAACCATGCTGATGCTTCGCTGAGGTCAGGTGGTTCGTGAAATACGGGAGCAGCAAGGCCTCTAGTGTCTTCGCTACCGGGGAAAGGAGTGTTATCGGTTGATACGAATCTCCTTTGTTGGCTGGTTTCCCCGGTTTGAGCAGTGGGACCACTCTCCCCACCTTCCAGATGTCTGGGATGATGAGAGTGGCCATTGACAAATTGAGGACCTCCGTTAGGTACGTTACTCCCGCAGGACCCACATTTTTCAGCATCAACATCCATATTCCTTCGGTCCCAGGAGGCTTTCGCCTTCTTGATGGCCACCTGAACTTCACCGGATTGGACAGTGACCTCACGGTTGACCAAAGCTTAACATGCCCACGACATCCGGTTCTGCGTACCGGAATGACTCGGGTTTTACCCGACCAAGGGCTGTTGTTTCGGCGATCTAACCCGGCGAAGTATCTCAGAAGTTGTTCGTCCATAGGGCCACATTTGCTACGTATTCTTCTGCTCAGGGCTGGCATCGAGTCAAACCCAGGGCCAGAAACCCACACCTGCTGTGTATGCCAGAGACGACTACACCACAACCCCACCTCAGTCAAGTGTAAAGCTTGGACCATGTCGTTTGTGGCCCCCTGCTGCTCAAATAGAGCAGCCTCCACGGCTAACCCCAGTCCACCTGAGCAGCTCCACACAAACACCACAGCACCACAACATACAACACAATAGATCACACCACAACCACGACAGACCACAGAACAAACACGCAATTCATGTGTTTCTGTTTCATGTTGCATACTTTCAGGCCCTACTGCTTTTCATTTAGAGAATTTTATCGACAAGCAAATAGCGTAACTATAGTCAGAATTCCACTGCTGATCGGAACTCATTCAGTTCAATGCATATTTTACCATTTTTTAAGTTTATTTTAATAACTTTTGTCTTTTTTACATCTCTTTACTGCCCGTCTCCACAGGATAAAGTTTATATCTTGATACATATGTTAGAATATAAATAGCCAATGGAGACCGCTCATTGCTCTTCAAGAGCAATATATATTAGAGCTTATATCTTGCCATCTAATGCCGGAGATTTGATAGTTTGACAGCTACATGTTCATTTGCATGAAAACTTCGTGGCGGTAACATTATTGATATTTTAATATAAAAGCAAATATTATAGTTTAACTTGCACACACAATCAGTTTTGCCTTTCAATTTCCTCACACACATTGCTGGTCAAAAATCATCAAAATTGAAAGTCATTAAGGGCCGGTTGTTCAATGTCCGATTAGCACAAATCGGAGGTAGAAGCTCCGGTTAAATACAACGACTGCTTTAGCGATCACATGTTATATGCATGATGTCGAAATCGTCGATAATGATGTTTAACCGGCAAGTAGTGATAACCAGTCACTGAACAATCGGCCCTAAGGGCCGGTTACCGACGTTACCGACTCCCTGTTATATGCATGGAGTCGAAGACGTCGGTAACGATGTTTAACCGCAGATTAGTGTTAACCAGACATTGAGTAACCGGCCCTAAATGTCAAAATTTCTATGGAAACTCGTTTACACATTTCTGATAAATTTCTCCAGCGATTTCAATAAACTTGATAAACTTAGGGCCGGTTTCTCCATCTCTGGTTAACACTAACTCCCCGGTTAAACATTGTTATCGACATTCTAACTCCATGCATATAACAGGGGGTCGATAAGGTCGGTAACGATGTTTACCGGGGGATTAGTGCCAACCAGACATTGAGTACCCGGCCCTTAACTGTAAGGGTCAGTTGTTCAATGTCTGATTTGCACAAATCAGAGGTAGAAGCTCCGGTTAAATACAACGACTGGTTTATCGATCACATGTTACAAGCATGGTGTCAAAAACGTCGATAATGATGTTTAACCGGCAAGTAGTGATAACCAGACATTGAACAACCAGCCCTAAGATACGATGCGCACTAGTCAACGCAACCATTACCGCCTGCCAGACGGCCCCCACGCTAACCGAGGGAGTGAAAGAGATGTCATATCAAAAAACCAGCTGACATGAAATTCGTGCTCGAAAACGTTGCTAGCTCTTAGGGCCGGTTGTTCAATGTCTGGTTATCACTACCACTACACTATCGACGATTTCGACATCATGCATGTAACATGTGATCGATAAAGCAGTAGTTGTGCTTAACCGGAACTTCTACCTCCGATTTGTGCTAATCAGACATTGAACAACCGGCCCTTAGACTATAGTAATAGTTGCAATTGATAAAATAAATTCATTAATTAAATAGGATGGGAAAGCTTTTATTGGTTTTTTCTGGATGGTGTTTACGAAAACAGATCTAATGTTTGTAATAGAATGTGGCTGTTTTACAAATCGAACCAACCATCAAGGGGTGGCAGCACTCGGTTTTGACATTTGTCAAAAGCCATGTTTTTTCTAGTTCCATTTCGTTCCTATAGCCTTTCTCTCTTTCTTCTACGGCTGTTCGCCATCCAAGATGGTAGGTAGAGTTTTTGTTTAAAATTAATTTAAAATCCACGATTTTCTGAGCCATCATAATGTGAAAATAAGTGAAAATCGTATAAGAATGCTGCAACACTATGTAGTTTTTTTGAAAATGTAATATTGCATTAATTCATGGGCTAAACAAGCGTGTACGGTGAGCAGATTACGGATTGTGAAGATAACTTATAAACTCATAATGGCACAGTGGAAATCGTTCGGCAATTCTAGCAAATAGTTCGAATGTGAATTTAATGATGGTTAACAAAGTTTTTCATATTTTCTAGACGAAAGGTACATCAAGTTTTGGTAAACGTCACAATAAGACGCACACCCTGTGTCGTCGCTGTGGACGCTCTTCGTACCATATCCAAAAGTCAACCTGCTCCCAATGTGGTTATCCTGCTGCCAAGTTGCGTTCATGTAAGTTTATACATATGTCTAATATTGCGGATTTTATGTAAACAATTGAGTTGAGCTGCGCTGAGAAGTAGTGGTCAGGTCGGGGGAATGTTCATAACAAACTACTGTTTAGTTTTGCCCATGATATGGTTTTATGTATGGAAATTGAAAATTAGTGGAAGCGATTCTGTTAAGATGTTTATAGTGTCTTCAAGCAGGCCAATTAGCTGAGGGAGTTAAGCTTTAAATTGCGGCACTGAGTTTGGTTTTCAGAAGAGAAGACTAATTTTAAATGCGGCCCTAGAAAAATCAACTGCATCGATATGAGAATCGTAGCGCGTAGAGACGTAGGCTGAGACAACATCTGTGGGCGACGCTAAAAATTAAATGATAAGCTCGAACAAAGAGCAAAAAGAGATGTTATCTAATTAAATTGGACTATAATCAAAATATTTAATACAGCTTGAATATAATATAGCATTTCAACTCGTGTCTTTAGAGCCAGTCAGACGTGACAATATTCCAAATTTTCCTCGCAATTCGGTGTCAAATTGGGAAAGAGAAATTTTGTTTCGATGTGTGAACAGCCAGAAAGAGCCTTCTGTAACATTTCTGAAATCAGTTTCAGAAATAAAAGTTGCAAGAAGTGACTGCAATTGAGAGAGCGCAAATCGATTTTGGAAATATATTTCAACTTGCTCGTGCTGCAGTAGCAATCTGCGAAATATATGCATTGCCACGTCTGACGGGCTATTTCATTAGCCCTAAGATATTTATTTCCATTCTGCGTTTTGAGGTCCTTAGCTTCCTCCATAGCTATATGACCCAAGCACGCAGATAGATCAAATAAGAAGCAATAATGGCATCAGTTCTATACTTAAACTTGTGCAGGTTAGTGTGTTCGAATATTATTATCCAAAACGATTTTTTAAATCTACCATAAAGACTAACCTTAACTAATTAACGAACTTTTGTACTCATTAAGAGAGGTATAAATATTTTATGTGCGTTCAACTTTTTTGGAATTTGTAAAGGGAAAATTTTCCAAAACGGATCTAGGCTTCGAAAGAAACCAAATATTAGGGGGGTAGTGGGGATGGCCCTGATTCTAAATCTGAAGGCCCCACCCTCCGGGGCTTATAGTTTTTAAGCAATTTGCATTTAAAGTTGCAAAAAAGCCAAGTTCAACTCCTTTTTTTAGACTAATTGAACTGTTGTGATGCCACACAACATAAAAATTCTGAAAACATAAACATTACAAATTTTCGATATATGTATATCGATATAAATATTACAATTTTAGTTATAACTCCTTTTTGCCTTACCCGCACTTTAATAAAAACCCTTAATTGTGGTGTATTTACTTTTGAAACGTATGACAGCACACATTTGCTCTTACTGTCGGCCATTGTCATTGCTGTTTGTTTGTGAAAAGTGCTAGAATTAGTAAACATTTATAAAAGCGTTTTACTTAAGTAATTCATTAATAGATAGATATTAAAGTACTATAAGTTAATAATTAATACGTTGTATTTTGTTTCAAAAACTATTCATAAATAATTTAAATACCTTTTTGAAAATATTTATATGAAATATATTTTGAAAAGAACAAGGTAGGCTGTTACCTGAAATATTCGTTTTCAAAAGGTATTTAAGCAATAGAAAATTTTGTAGAAATTCAGTTTTTGTTCAACTTTGAAATTGGAAACCCATAAAATAAAAAGCAAAAAAAAAACTTAACTTGAAATATGGGAGCACTCCATAATCCTGACTTTGAAGATCCCGACTAGACATAATCCAGACAATTTTTAAAAATCCAGACAATACGAAATCTAGACAGGACATAATAGAGACATAACAAAATCCCGACCAAATAAAATATAGATAACACATTATTCCGACAAGACAAAATCCCGACAACTCAAAACCCCGACAAGGCACAATCCAGAAAAAAAAATACACAGCGTCCGGAAATGAAATTGATGACTTATGCTTAAATATAAACGGTTACCACTCCACATTTTTTCGCTTCTTCACTGCAAGGAGCCTAACCCTCTCGGCAACCATTTTACCACAAGGACGAAAGCTGCGTATGCTCATCGATGGCAAACTAATTCCAACGGTGAATAACCGGAAAATTGTCAGATCTAGCTCTCGTTCCCGGCGCATACAACCGAAATTGCCAACAAAGTACAGAGCCGTAGTCCTCAATTCGGCAGTACTTGGCCAAAGACAAAGAAACGGTGTTGCAAACATACAAAGCCGCCCGGTTCTAAATTATGCAGCACCTGTGTGCTCGCCGGGGACAATTGGTTCGCAGTGGACGAAACTAAAGACATGCCACAATACAACACCCTGGACAACCAGAGGATGTCTTCTGATGTCGCCAGACCATCACATCCACAGTGAAGCCGAAATTCTCCCAGTAAGGTGCTACTGTTGTCAGCACTCGAACTTGCATGAGCTGAAGGACCAGGTCCAGCACTACGCACAGCACCCCTGGGACTGGGACTGTACAGACAGGTTATTAACGGTATTTGCACGGTTACATTCATAATCCGGAAATTCAAAATCCAGACATATCAAAATAAAGACAAAATTCAAAAATGCAGAAAAATCAAAATACAGACGAATCAAAATACCGGCAAATCAAAATCCAGACAAATCAAAATACAGACATGAGGGCAAAAAAGGTCGGTATACAATTTTTGCAAATCAAAATCGTGTCTGTTAAGTCGTAGTTAGGCTCGCAGAGAGATCTGCGCAAAAATACTGTGGGAAAAATACTGGGGAATACTTTTCTAAAAAAATCCTGAATCCACCCCCTAACCTTCTTCATCAAAACAATTTCAGTGTACCGGAATTTATTTAAAAAATTTTAATTAGTAAGTATTTACAAACAATCGTTAACTACTTATATTAAATTGAGATGCTTAGCTATATTGGCTAAGTATTCTTTGGGAGCATATTTTTCCCTTTCCATAACAATTGTTTTAATAAAATGTTCTGTTTTCCAGGCGTCGCCGTTTAGCTTGTTTTTCTCCACTAAGCACCTTTTCAATTTTAGTTTCTACAAAAACTTGCTCTTTTATCAAATTTGATATTAGATTGAATATATTTCCATGGTATTGCCAAACTAAACATGAAAGACGCGCGATTTTTCATTCTAAATTTTCGCCTGCGGCGTTTTTTTATATTAAATTATATTTTAAGAAATACTGAAAATTTAGAATAAAAAATCG